GCACACAGTAAGCACTTAATAAAGACTGATTTACTGAATAATATCTATAAAAGAAAACAAATTATTCAGCAACAAAATCATGTTATTAGAAATCAAAGCTTACAGGACCTTAAATCATGAAATGGCTACTGGAGTTTAATGCTAGAATCTAGTACTAACAGTAGACAGGGAGACCTATTAGCCAATATGAAAAGGAGAAAAGGCTCTAGATGCCCATAAATTAATTTGGCAGAAAATGAGAAATGCAAACAGGTCATACAAATGGGAAAAGGACCCACATGTACAAAAATATTTATAGCAGCTCTTTTTGTGGTGGCAAAGAATTGGAAATTGAGAGGATGTTCATCAATTGGGGAATGGCTGAACAAGTTGTGGTATATGAATATAATGGAATACTATTGTGCTAGAAGAAATGATGAACAGGCTGACTTCAGAAAAACCTGGAAAGACTTGCATGGTCTGATGCTGAGTGAAGTGAGCAGAACCAGAAGAATGCTGTACACAGTAACAGCCACATTGTGCAATGATTAATATTGATAGACTTAACCCTTCTCAGCAAAGCAAAGGATCTGAGACATCTCCAAAGGCCTCATGATGGAAAATGCTGTCCACATCCAAAGAAAGAACTATGGAGTTTGAATGCAGATTGAAGCATACTATTTGCTGTTTTTTTTTTCTTCTGTTGTGTTTTGTTTCCTCTTTGTGGTGGTTCCTCCTATTGATTCTAATTCTTACCTACAACATCACTAATGTGAAAATATGTTTAACAGGAATATATATGTATAGCCTATATCAGATTGCAAGCCGTCTTGGGGAGGGAGGTAGAGAAAAATTTAAAACTCAAAAGCTTATGGAAGTGGTTGTTGATAATTCAAAATAAATTTAAAACATTTTTTAAATTAAATAAAAAAAAGGAAATGAGAAATGAAGTGGTTTGGGTCGACAAAAAATTAGTGCATCTTACCAAATATTAAGACTGAAGAGTTTCCACTCTAAATTGCCAAAAATTTAACTTGTTAACAAAATGTTACTTACAGGGCCAGCTTTCTGAACCAGGTATTATTTAAGCCAAGTGACCTGAGAGTCTAAATCATCCTTTTGCCTCAAATCAAACAAGCATTTATCAAGCACCTAATATGTGCCAAGCACTATGCCTCAAAATTGCTGGTGCCTTAAAGTCAAGAAAAAAAATCTCATGGTGAAATGTAAAACTTTGTCTTTATTAAAATGTAAATATCTTGAAAAAGGATAATGTATTAGCCATTTTTACCTTAATGTGAATGAATTTTAGATCCTTCCTGAAAGAGAAGACGTAACTAAGCACCAATAAGGGGAAGAATATATCAAATGGGGAAGTGGAAACACTGGGAAGGCAACAACTTAATGTAAGAATGTACTTACTAATGACTAAGAATCCATTCCAATTCAAAGGGCTACAAATTAGCCTATCTTGCACTATAGAATCTTATGCCATAAAAGCCAGGAAAATCAGATTATTTGAATAACCAGGAATAAGCCAAGCACTAGGCAAGAATTTTAACAGGACCGTCATTTTTTTATTCATTATTTTGCTTCTAAAACTTTTAATTATTTTATGTCCAATATATGTTTAAGATAGCTAAGGCTTTCTAGGGAGAGAACAAGCAATAATTAAGAGCCTATACTGTGTGCCAGGGCCTGTGCCAACAAATATCTCATTTGATCCTCACAATAATCATGTGAGGTAGGTGCTATGGGCCCCTTTTACAATTGAGGAAACTGAGGCAGAGGTTAAGTGACTTGCCCAAGGTCACACAGCTACAAAGTGAAGTTGTATTCGAACTCAGATCTTCCTGACTCCATGGCTGTTTTTGTCATCAGCAAGCTGGTAACTTTAAAGAGCTAAAGGCAAATAGAAGTGTTAAGGTGAAAAGTGTTAAATCTTATCTGGAAAACCTGCTTAAAAGATATAGAGGGTAAAGAAGTTTATGTTATGTCTTTATGGACTCTTTAAGTTTCAAGTAACTATGCAATTAATCCACATTACTTCTTATTTCAGCTTTTAGAAGGGGCAAATTATAGAAGATTATCATAGTACTATGAAGGATTCTACATTATTAGAAAACTTGGATTTTAAAAGCACATCTGTTAATTCCTTGTAAATCATTAATTCGAGGGCAAAGCTCACATCTCCATTAAGTTTGAGAACCTTCAAACAAAATCTTACAACGTTATTTACCTGCAAGTGCTGTCTGTCAATGAAGAGAAACACTGACTGGTTAGGATTGTTGACAACAATTCCAGTCTTGTCCTTTCGGCTCAGTACATGCAGAAACTGTTTTTCGTAGTCACCGTGATAAAATTCAAACTTGGCCTATATGAAAAAGATATTGCTGTACAACCATAATCATACATTACAGTCCATTTTCATGGGAAAAAGTTATAAAGAAGGCACCTAAAAAAACCAGAGGGGTTAAGAAAAACATTTGATAAATCAAACCAAAAGACTTATTAAAAGGTATTATTACAACACAGCAGAAACAACACTATTTTTGGGTCAGAGGTTCTGGGCTAAAATTCTGGCACTACTACTAAACAGAATTTTAGTCAGAAGAGAATACAGATGCCATTTGATCCAAGCAGTACTTATTCTTTAAAGTGAGGGCCAGATGGAATACAGGAAGGCAGAACCTACTACACCTCCCAAAGCATTCCATTCTAGAATAGCTCTAATCATTAGGAAATCTGCCGTTATATCAAACCTCTGTCTGGCTTTCCAAAGTTCTGTTGTCACCTGAAAATTAAATAAGCATGCCATCTGTATTTCATCTATGTCATTCATAATTGTTGTAAAGTGTATAAAAACCATGCATGGATATATCCTTCAGAGTGCTTCAGTAAATACATTCCCTCAAGCTGACACTGAGCTATTCAATTATTACCAATTCTACTTTGGATCTAGTCATTCAACCAATCCCAAATTCACCCAAATATATTACCTTCTAGCCCACATCTGTTCCTATCCACAGTTAATATGAAAAAATTTGTCAAATGTTTTGCTGAGAGCTAGGTAACAAAGGTTGAAAGTAGATACTTAAAGCTTAAAACATCTGCATACCAAGTTAAAGGAAATTAGAAATTTAGGGCATGGAGAACATATGCCCCAATGTGGGCATAAACACTGAGTTGACACTACCCATCTTTTGTTCCCTTCTTAAAGTTGGCTTTCAGGCTTGAACTTGAGAACTTGGGCTCCAATTCTGGCTATGCTACTGGGCAAATCATTTTCAAACTACGGACTTCACTTTCTTCAACCAAATGAGAGGGCTGGAACAAATCTCTACTACGCTTTTCAAGCTCTAACTCCAAATCCACTACCTGATGCCTTTACAATCTATGTTGCCAAACTGCTATAGCTACTGTATGCAGTATTTGTGTAAATGCACAAAGACAGAAAAAAGTAGTTTCTCAAGTTAAAAAAGACTACCTCACTCCATGTTTAATCTCAAATTCACTTCTCCTGTAAAATACTAGAGTCAAAAAATATATAATAAAGAAAACTTGCCTTGGTCTACTGAACTAATTCTGTAATTAAAGGCTGTAGCAATTAACATAACAGGACACTAAATGTGCCCAGCCTACTTTTTCAAGTGGTGCTGTGTTGCATCTCAATGAAAGTCTCAGATTTTAACAACTTAGCCAAAGATTTTGAAACTTTGAGTCTCTTTTCCTTTCTGTAATCTACAGATCAATAAAGCAATATTTAAGTTCCTTTCACCCACTGTATTCAAATATATACTTTAGAATCACCTTACTAAACTTAAGATTATTTAAATCTACCATCATAAATCATCTCATTTAGAACTCTCAAACTGATGATTTAGTTTTATCCATATTTATCTAAGTTGCTGAACCACGCTGATTCATCCCTTCAAGTGTTAAACTTCCTGAGCAGCCCATAAAATTCAATCTTAGTCAAGTGGTCCATTTATTGGATATCCTTGTTTTATCACTCATCCAGCATCTTAAACATCAGTGACAACTTCAATTAACTGTCTTTCTTGTACTGTTGAGCTTTTTCTGAGAATTACATTTCATTTATAATTGTTCTTTCCATTAATAAGCCCATATTTTCCCCTTTCCTGGTATAACACTCTCATATTTAGATAAGCTATTCCCCAGTCTAAGAAGAGCCTACAAATAGACTACTCCCCTCAAAAATGACAAATATTTTTACAATGACAACTATAGTAATAATATATATCAGAAATCAGTCACCTGGCTCTGCCTAAAGAAGATTTTTTTCTTCAAGGAAACAAGCTGTCTTCTATTCTTCATCTAGGAAAACCTACAAATAAATTAGGCACTACTTCCTAACTCATTTTTCTTTTAAAATTTTCTGGTATTGTACTCCCTTTCTAAATGTTATTACTGTAACCCACAAACTGTTCTTAACTGACACAGTATTACTCATCCCAAAAAAGACTTCATTGTTTAATCAAGGCACTTGTATTTTATTATGTTTCAAAGAATTTTAGAAATAAAAATACCTGAACAGGCCTGAAGGGCTCATCAGATCCTTTCCACCTAGAAAATAGGAGACAGACAATCTTCTCAATATCATTCCGAGGCCAAAGAATGAAATCCATCTCCTGAGTACAGCCAATTACATCCTATACAAAAGATGGAAAACATTAAGTTGTTAAAGGGTTCAGCTATAGAATCCTATGTGAAGAAAACATATAATTTTATAAATTTTAAAAGTTTAGGATTACATATATTGTTGTTTGTCCTTATACTTAACAGTTCACATGCTAATGGCAGACAATGTTTTACCACATAACCTATCAGCAAGTCAATGCCTCAACACAGTAGTAGTCCACCTCTATTCAAAGACCTTGAGTGTCAAGGCAAGCAACATTTTCCGTAAGTCACATCTACAGCAATCTTCTCCAAGTAGATTGTCAGTGTTATCACTCTTATGCATTTACTACTTAATATAACTTAAACATATATTATATGTTTAATAACATGTTGGGCTGTTTGGTGGCACAGAGTGATGGGCCTGCAATCAGGAGGACCTGAGTTCAAATCTGGCCTAAGACACTAGCTATGTGACCCTGGGCAAGTCACTCAACCTTGTTTGCCTCAGTTTCCTGATCTGGAAAATGAGCTGGACAAGGAAATAGTAAAGCACTCCAGGATCTTTGCCAAGAAATCCCAAATGGGGTCATGGAAGAGTCAGACAGGACTAATTGATTAGACAACAAAAACAAACATATTATGTATCACTTACATAGGGAGCGTTTTCTGAGGCACTGGGAAAGATATAAAGTAGAAAATTTATACACAAAACTATGAATTTAATCTAGTATTTTTAAATCATAACCCAGTTTAAGGCTCCTGATGAACAGTGATCTGTGGTTTCTAATATGGACCATCCCTGTAGAGTTAGTCTACTAGCATTAAGTACCTACTGTGTGCCAGGCACAATGCTATTGTGTCATAATAATGCTCTCATTATATACAATGTTTTAACCAGGTCACAAAGAGTCAGACAAAACTGAAAAGACAACTTAAATATGGATCTAAATTGAAAACCTTTTTTTTTTCCCTATGAAAAAAATAAGAAGCAATTAGTGTGTCATTATAATGCTCAATAATGCTCTCATCAATGCTCTCAAATAAGCTCTCATTTCGGAACTCTATGTGCATAACCTTATCCTTTTTCCACTCCTTATCAGAGTAGAGTATATTATTTCCAAAGCCTAGCCTCACAGTGTTAGTACAGTTTCAAAGCTACAAAGCATCACCAGACAAATACTGAGTGTTAAAGAAATTACTGTTTCTTTGTTTCCAGAAGTAGGGAGTCAGGAGAAAGCCACTATCTTAAATACAATGTTTTGACCAGGTCACAAAGAGTCAGACACAACTGAAAAGACAACTTAAATATCAATCTAAATTGAAAACCTTATTTTTTTTTCCCTTATGAAAAAAATAAGAAGCAATTAGTGCCGCAGAACCAGAAAGAAATGGGTCAGATCCTACCTTAGATACACATTAGGTGTATATCTTTGGACAAGTCACTCACTCAGTCTTAAAAGACTTGACCAGAGCTGAGTGATTAAGTTGCAGAGAAGATCCCGACCTGCACTGGTAGAGGAAGTTCTCCCTGCTCCCTACATTACTGATATCAGATATCCATCCTTTATCCTTCCTCTTCACTCCCCTATCCTACTTCAGCCCCATTTCCTCCTCTTCAATTCTTGGCCAAGTTAATTATCTATCTGAAGTTTGTTCAAAAGATTTATTAGCTATTTGGCCTGCTCATCCAATTGCACATCAGATTTTACTAAATGTTCTCTTAAGAATTAAAGTTGTAATTTATCTGAAGGACAATAGAAAGCCACATAGAAAGCTGCGGCATACTACCATACAATTACTGGGAAGAGGCAGAAAAATGTACAACCAGAGAAGGAGATGGGTAGGGCTTGCATTAAAAGCAAGGAATAAATGAACAAACTAGGTATCTGACTGATTGATGATACACATTCAATGTCAAGAGAAAGACCGCCCAAAAGTAAAAAAATTTTTTAAAGCAAAGAACTAGAATAAAAAAGCTGGTGCCTTAGATTGCTCTCTTAAACAACTGGAGAATGGCAAATAAATGTATATGGAATGTAAAAGAATATTATCTAAGAGTGATGATTTTGGAATATCCCAAGAACTCTAAGAGTGAACAGAACTAGGCAAACAATTTACACAAGGACAATAATATTGTAAAGAAAACAATTTTGAAAGGACTCTCATTGCAATTACTAACCATGTCTCCAGGACTCATGATAAAACATGTTACCCCCCCCCCAAAAAAAGAGGTGATGGACACAAGACACAGAAAGAGGCATACTTTTTTTTAAACTTGGCTACTGTGTGGATTCATTTTGCTTGACTACACTTGTTACAAGGGTGGTTCTTAATTTGGAAGTGGGAAGTGGGGAGAGTTGGCAACAGTAATACCAAAAAAAGGGAGGAACTATTGAAACTATTTTTTTTTTAAGAATGCAAAGAAAAAGGAACCACAAACAGAACAGCTTTGAAAGTAATCAAATTTATCATATTATTTTTAAAATATGCATTATGAAATGACAATTAACAGTTCCATATAGGATCTGTGTTCTGTTGTGTGTATGGAAATGCTATTTTTAATGTTTAAATTCAAAATAAAAATCCAATTATAAAAAAGAGTGATTTAAATATTTTTTTAAAGGTAGGCAGGAGAGAAAGGCTCCCAGTACACCAAGTGGCTCTTCTGCAGGCAATTTTATAGGCAGGTATGAACAAGAGTTACAAACAATAAGAAAGCATTTATCAGTTACAGTTAGTACTATTTTGAGGGAATATCAGACTTATTACATACTCAGCCACAATCTTAATGGGAATAGAGACCCTTTCCCTCAATCCGGTTATACCATCAATACTTAAATTTTAACATGTGCTGAAGAGTTAAAAAAATCTGAAAAACAGTGAGTTCCATAATTCTGTTGCCCTGCTAAGCAGATAAGCTCTTTACCAAAAGGTTAATTATGTGAAGCCATCCATCATAAAACTCTTCCGAGTATAAAGTTTTTATTTATTTGGAGGTTGGAGGTAGGAGGTAGTTTCCAGACTGGACTTTATCCACTGCTACTCCAAAGATGGAAACTTCACTGATGAAGATCAGCAACTTCCAGTTTCAGAGTTGCCCTGGGGCACTTAACAGGTTAAGTGGGTTAAGGATCTTAAAACTAATACTAACAGAGGCAGCACCTGAAACCAAGCGTCCTGACTCTTAAGACCTTGCACTCTATCCACTGACTACATAAGACATCCTTTCTTTTTATTATAGGGACATAATACCTTAAGTGAATTTTCAATTTAGATCCTAAAGTCTTGTACACATGGATATTTGACATTTCGATTAAAAACCAATAAGGACTTCAAAACCAATAAGTATACAATTAAGTTACAAAAGAAAGCTACATACATGAGATTTATAAACAGCTTAAAGGGCAAAAAAGGCATACTGAACTTTTATATACTATTGTAGTCTTTGCACTTACACAGTATTTTAGTCATCTCATAAATGCAATGTGATTTATTTCCCAAAAGAAGTATCTCCACAAATATCTAAATACAAAATGTATAGGGAAAATTAAAAGCAGTAGGGAACTGAAATTTAGTGTGGTTTTGGCTATCTACATTCATAGGATGGCAACTGAAGACATTGGAAGGGAACAAAAAAAACACCCCTCTCCAACAAGTTTAGAAAGCTGGCTAAGAACTAGCAGACAATAACATCCCAAGGGCAAATTAATAGAAATTACAAATTAAAACTCACTGTCTTTTAACTGACCACTAAGTTTACCACAATTTACAGACTTAAGTTAGCCCAATGAGAGTTGTAAAATAACCTGAATTTCAAGTTATACTAAATTGGAAAAGTTTATTCAAGTTCAATCTCTCAGTTTGTTCCAATGTTTACTGCAAAAAATTCATATCCAAAGTATTTATTTCCATTTTAAAATGTTTTTCATTTTAATCAAATTATCTCTAAAAATCTACCCACCATCACGACAAGCACAAAGAAAAATAAGGCTCACCCTTCGCATGGACTGGTAGCGGGGAGCATGGAGCTGTACTACATCCTTCTGCAAAAGTTCTATGGAACTTTCCAAGGAATAGCTGGAATCTCGCACACCTTTCAAAATATTTTCTTCATAATTGTTCGTCATGACTGGTATCACTTCAGACACTTCAAAAAGTGCTGATTTTTTCTTCTGAAAAATAAAAATTTTATTAGCTTAAGTTTTCAGCTATACACGATCTGGTAACTGCCAGTTAGAATTTTAGTGTGAAGCACAATCATTTTAAACCACCAACATTCTTGACTGTGTTTGCAAAACGAGAAACAAATTCAAGAAGACTTTTAAGAAAAATCATTTTTACCCAGTTAAATTTAGAACACAACATTTATCTTCGATAAAATAACTTCATATTACAAGCAAGGCAGCAATTTGCCTCCTTCAAGGTAAACAGAATAAATTCTGATCTTAAAAACCTGATCTTAAAATTCCAAATTTAAACCCCACCTATAAAAACAAAAATAAGACTAATCAAATAAGCAGCATATAATTTTTACTACTTAGCAAACAGCAGTTTTGGTCTTTCTTCTTAAACACGTGTCAACATTTTTAGACAGCAAGTACTAATGAAAACTCAACTTCTGAAGTGTAGCACATTTAAGAACTACAATATTATTCCAAGATCGAAGACCCAAAGTCCCCAAGCAAACTATTTGCCGTGGCAGTCATAGCAGTTGCGTAGACACTTCACAATGACAGTAAGCCTGTCTGAGTAAGACAGACATCTGGGTATGTCCAGATAAGGTTTCCGTAAAGCTAATCTACTACTGGAAAAGTTTGAGCCACTTTCTGGACAAAAAAAAAAAAAACAAATTCAAGGTCTAATAATTTAGTTTCTAGGTTGTACTCAGTCTTAATTTCATTCCTTATTGATCTCATACACAGCAGCTTTTGCTGAAATCATCCAAGAGAAAGGTTCAGATATCACCGGAGGTGGTGATAGTAGTAAATACATAGATTGGAATAATTTTGAGGCTAGCACATGCAAACAGAAGGGTCTCTAAAATTCACTGCTTTGGCACCTGATGTATAGTGTTTAATCTTCCTGGATCAAGAACTTTTTGGGGGGGGGAGTTTGGTGTGAGAAGTCAAATTTTATTTTACCAACAGGGTCATGGTCTACAGACAAATCCAAGCGATCTAAGTGCACTGTGACACATGACATTAAACAACTGTTAAAAGTGCCTACTATGTGCACAGCACTGTTATTAAGGATAAAGATTTACTGATAAATTTTTTAAAAATTCAACAGTGGCTGTTCACTTCAACTTTGTTCAATTTAAGCAAATTTACTTAAAACTAAATTCTGATGTATTTAAACTTTAGAATATTCATTATTCCAAGGTTTTGTATTGCCCAACCCTATTAGTTGGCCATAAAAACATGTTTGCCTTCCTCTTTAAAATTGTTTCCTGAGTAAAAATTTCCTTAATACTAACCAGTTGGGGTATTACTTGTTTCTATGGAGCAATGGCTATCTGGATATTTCCTTTCTTGTACTAGGTTGAAAGGGATTAGTCACTTGGAACCCTCTCATAAAGTAGGTGCTATTGGTGCCAGTTAGTCCCTTTAAATAATCCAATTATTTTAATTGAATTTACCTCTAATTCAAATGTTACTTTTAAACCTGGTATTCAATAATTTATATATGACTATAAACTTACAAACAATGGTCTCCAATAATGCTACAAGTCCTACAGCACAACAATTGATTACAAATGGATAAATCTCACCTTCCCCCAAATCAAGTACGTGTGTACTAGTACTTCACCTTCATAGGCTACACATACCTTGGACCTGAGAAAGTACAGCAGGGGCAATGTCAATTCTAAGTCATTTTCTTCAATTAGTATGCATACCTATTACAGTTAGCTTGTTACCCTTTTATAAAGTCACCCAAGTGCTCATGGAACAAAAGTTTTAAGAGTTTTAAGTTACCTTCTCCTTGAATACAAAGGCAATATACATCTTGAAGTCAAACTGGTCAGCTAGAGATTCTTTTTTCTTTCTAAGCTGAGCACGAAGTCTGTTCAGAGCTTGTTTCTTCCGGGAGTTTGGGTCCCCCATTTTGTAAAATACAGGTGGTACTAAAGCCTTTGGAAATTGTCGCTAAACTATGGGCACTTTTTCTTAAGACTCAAGTACAACAGAAACAAGTCGTTTTATCCTGCTAATATGACTGAATAGCTAAAACAGCTGTAACCCAAAAAATGCACCCCAGGCAATTATTAGAAGACTATCATATTAAAATGCTAACAAAAAAATTGCCATCCAATCGTGTCTTGGACAATAAGATTTTGGAATGGATAGGAATGGGGAAAGAGAAGGGTAGAAAGAGAGGAAAGAGTTTGAATCAAAAATTTTGAACACACATTTATGGGAGACAACTTAATTGCCAAAATAAGGGGGGGGAGAATAAATAAAATTAGAAGCCTTTCATCAAGATTTAGGTGTACAATAAAATGCAGCTAACACCAGCCCAATCCTTTAAATCCATCTGGTGGGGTTAGTTTGGTTTTTGGCCCGTTTAAAAAGGAAAAGGATCAGAAGGGTAAAGGGGAAACGGATCCCCGATTTTTTTTCTAGGGTAAGTGAATGAAACTGAAATATCCAATTGAGTTTTACCCAGCCAAACCCATGGCTGTGGTAGCTAATTATAGTTAGTATTTCAGATTTCACTAGTGCTATGTATCGCCAGTGCTTGTTATTGATTACACTTGGTGGAGAGCAAAGAGGAAAGTGCGAAATCGGTAGAAAAGGAAGAGAGGTACAGGATTTCCCTGCCATAAACTACAGTGTACACCGGGGGCGGGCAGCTGTTACCCAAAGGAGCCAACAGAAAAAACAGCGGAGTCATTACCAACTTCCCCATCACCCACATTTTCACCCTCAGGCGGCTGCAGCTGCTGCCAAGGAGGATCATGATGGCAGGAGGAGAGGGGATAAGAGAAATACCGTTTATTATTCCCGCTCTGTGGTGAGATCTGATTTAAGTCCTGGATCCAGATTTCCCCCAACCCACTGAAGAGTGCGCTACATTCCCCCAGGGTTCCTTACTGAACTTGACCCTCTCTTGCAGCCCTTGCTCACTCTGGGAGGTGAGGGGTGAGATTTAGCTGTGGGTGAGCATGGCAGGTCAGGTTGGGGTTGGCTTTCCCGTCCCAGTCAATGGCCAGGGCCACCACCTGCCCTCTACCCTGCCCCCACCCCCTTTTCCTCAGCGACTCACTCGCACCACGGGAAATTTAGGGTCACTCGGGGTTTCGTTCATCTCATCGTGGAAGCGATTCTAGCTCCCCAACCCCCGGTAGGGGTGGATGGAAAAAAAGAAAAGTTAACAAGTAAGAAAATAAAAGTTGTTAGAAAAAAGTTTAACAAAAAGGACCCTCCCCCACCCCCCCTTTAAAAAAAAATCCCGGTTTTCGCTTAGTTTTCCCTCATGTTGGGCAGATCATGTTCCCAAGTACTGGTTTAGGGTTCGAGGAGGGCTGGGAAAGGATTTTCTTTTACTGTTTTTGTTCTTTTAGGAAAACAAAAACAGATGAGGAGAGGGCAGGGGGCAGGCTTGGGCAGTTGGCTGGACTGGGATCCCCTTCCCTCTCTGTCCCCGAAGAGACCGGGACTCACTGACCGACTCTCTCTTTCCTCTCTCGGGTGGGGTGGGCTCGGGCTTTCTTAGCCGCAGCCTGCGGGCGGAGCGGTGGCGGCGGCGGCGGAAGAGGCGGCGGCGGCGGGGGCGCTGCTAGCAGCACGGGCAGGAGCCATGTCAAGAGAAAACCACCAGCCAACTGAGCCCCTCCATCCCTGCTGCAGTGCGCACTGTGACCGGGCCGCCCGCGCTGCTGCCGCCGCTCAGCCCCCTCCTGGGACCCATAGTCTAGCTCGGCACCCCGGGCGGCAGCTGAGGAGGCGGCGGTGGCTGCGACTCGGGAGGAGGTGGGGAGAGAAGAGGAGGAAGACAAGAGGGAAGAGGAGGAGGAGACAGGGGGGTGGGAATGGCGCTGGCGGTGGGGGAGGGGAGGGGAGGGGACCCTGCACTAGGAGGTCCGTCAGCCGAGTGAGCCCCAAGAATTAAGTTATTCCTGTCCGAGCATCGGCTCTCGCTTCTCTCTTCCCCCCCAACGAGCAGGCTCCGGGCTCTCAGGAAAAGAAGAACGAGGTTGATGAGGATGGGGAAGGAAAAAAAAGGCTGAAGCAGCAGCGGGTAGTAGGCGTCGACGGTGGTACAGCCTCGGTTTTTTTTTCCCACCCCCACCGGCGGTTGCAGAAGCGGCGGCGGCGACAAGCGCCTCCCGGGCCGGGGCAGTAACGCGTTTGAGGGAAGAAGCGAGAACAAACAACTTAAAATGGCAGCGACGGCCGCTGCGTCACCCGCCCCTCCGCGGTGCCGCCCCGAGGCCACCGCGGCTGCGCGTCCCGCCGGCCGGTACCACTTTCGCCAGAGCAAAGGGGGAGGAAGACAAAGATGAGGGGAGATGTTTAAAATAAAAAGATGATAAAGACAAAAATGAAAATAGCGAAATTATGTGTAATTTACTAAAATGAAGATATCGTGGTAAATTAAGCTTCTATCATGAGTTAAAGGCCTCGGAGATGAAGAAATTAATAAAAGAAATCATCCCCTTTCATTGTGGTTTCTCCGAAGGGCGTGAAGGGTCTCCCGGCCTCTCCCTCCGCTCCCCCTCGGAGGGGTCGCGTGTAGCTTCCAGCTTCCTCCCTCCCCAGTGACGTCAGAACACCCCCAGTTTCTCCCCACCCCCACCCCCCACGAAGCACCCGGATGGAACTGTAGAGGACGGCTGGGGGAGGGGAAAGAAAGTAATCAGTACTGGGCTTGGCGGCTGAGCTGGGAAGTTGGACTGGGATGATAAGGGGCCCGGGAGTGGGCGAGGGGAGAGTCCCTCCCTCCCTCCCTCCCCTCCGGATATTTCAGTTCCAAACCGCCAATTGTTCCCCCCCCCCCCCCGCCACCCCACTCTGGGCGTGGGGGAGGAGGGCGGAGGGAAGCTTATTGTAACCAGATTCAAGTTCAGTTCCATCACTCATCTTCCGGGGAAACTGCTCCAGCCCATACTGCCCATGGATCTTCATTAATTTGCCTCATGGGGCTAACCCCTGCGGAAGGAGCGCTGGGTTTGGAGCCGGGAGCGGGCTTCCAACTAGGGCTCTGCTACTTAGCGTGTCTGACTTTGGGCAAATCATCTCAGAGCCTCAATCCCTTAATCTGTAAAATGGGAGGGGTCGGACTAGCAGGCCCCGAGGTGGGGGAAGGGGGGTGAGATGAAGGCTGTCCAAGGTCCCTCCCCAGTCTGAAGCCCGTGGTCATCTTTCTTCACCGCCCTTCTGCCCCAGGCTAAAGTTCTATTTTGTGCTTGAAACTAGCTCAAAAATCGCAACTAGATGAATTGTGACAGGTTATTAAAAGGAGAAGCCTTCTACAATTTTTGTTTTGTTTGTTTTCCTGTTATCTGACCTCCGTGGAAATCTAATAGCCTTTCTCACTTTTTGCTAATTGTTTTGAGAAAGACCTGCACCTTGCACTCTTCGGTAACTTGGAGAAGGGAAATGTATTTTAGGGGGCTTTAGCCTACCGATGTTCAAAGAAACGGCTATTTCGGAGGCACCAGTGTTGCCCTGGCTTCTGCGTAAAAGTACAAAACTACCAAACACTAAAATGACTCTTCTGCAATTTCTGAAATAAATCAAAACGTTAAACTTTTACAGATATAGCTGTCTTGACTTTAATCCATCGTATCAGGCAGAGCCTAGGTAAGGATTTTGTGACCCCACCCCACCCACAGTGTACATACTTTGTTCTTTTTTTTATCGACTTTACTGTATTCTAATTTGTTTTATAGTTATTCGAGTACATATATGTTATCTCCTTTACTAGCTCTTAAACTCTTCCCGAGCCGGAACCTGTGTCATTATTTTTGTATCTTTCCCAACATCTAGCAATTTTATTAAACAGATAAAGTGGAAAATATGATGGATTTGGAATCAAAAGGACCTTAATTTGAATAGAATCTCAGCCACCCAGTCACCTGGGTGACCTTGAGCAAAGCCACTTTCCCCCATCTGCTTTTCCCTTTCTCATCTGTGAGGGGGCTGGACTGAATGATTTTTAAGGTCCCATGATCTTTTGATCCTATGACCTACCTACTAGTGAAAAGGTATTGTTCAAGCCAGTCAGTAAATCAAAGATGAAAAACAGCACAGTCCTTACTCTCAGGGATTTACAATTTGAGGAAGATAGAAGAATCAAAGCTGCCTCTGAAGTTTTTGGTGACTAGAAACAGGGTAACTGGGGAAAGGGGAAGGTTTGGGGTAAAAGGTGTGTTCAGTTTTAGATATATTGATTTTCAAATACAAGTGAGACTTTCAAGTGATATCTGGTGATATTGAAGATGCAGTATTGAAGTTCTCTGAGAGATTTAATAACAATAATAATAGCAAGCATGTACATAGCATTTTATTAATGTTATCTCATTTGATCTGGGAGTCCTGCATAGAAATAACTGAAGCCTTAGATGAAAATTGACAGGGAAGAAAATGTAGAGAGAAAAGGGCAAGGACAGAGTATCAGAGGTAGATCAGAGAAGACCAAGTATACAGAAGAAACAAAAAAAAGGGGACACCGAAGCCACAGTGGGGTGGGGGTGGGGAGAGATGTCAAGAAGGACAAGGTGAGGGGCAGCTAAGTATAGAAGTAGATGGAGCAACCAGCCCTGGAGTCAGGAGGACTTGCATTCAAATCTGCCCTCAGACATACCCACTAGCTGTATGACCCTGGGTAAGTCACTTAATTGCCTCCTTCCCTCCCCTCCCCCGCCCCAAAAAGGACAAGATGATCAGTAGTGTCAAATGCTGTAGCAACAAGTCAAGGAGAATTAAGTTTGAGAAAATTTTAAAGTTAGTAATTTGAGGTAATGTAGTGGCTAGAGAGCCAGCCTTGAGGAGATCGGGGTTTAAATTCTGTCTCTAACACATACACATGTTGGCTGAGGAGCCCACAAATCACTTAATCTCTCAGTATTCTAGACAGAGCCAGTTGTATGTTGTCCCTTCATTTGTACATATGATAGCTTTCTCATTAGGCGTTCCCAATACCAGTGAAATCAAAAGTTCAATCTTAAAAGTTATTGGTTACCTGGGATAAAGCAGTTTCATTAAAGAGGTGGGGACAGAAACCAGACTACAGGGAATTAAGAAATAAATGGAGAGTGAGAAAATAAGGGAAGCTGGTAGAGACAACTTTCTGAGAAATACAATACCATAATTTGAGGAGGTAACATCAAGGGGAAAAATTGTTTTTAGAATGGAGAGACTTGCAAGTGTCTGTAAGCAGAGGAGAAGGAACTACTAGAGAAGAATAGAGTGATGATGAGAGTGAAAATGAGAATAAAATTTTCCCAAGGAGACAGGTAAAATAGTATCAAAGGCAGAAGAGGAGGGGCTTAGCCTTACCGCAGAGAACCACCTCGTCCTCTAAAACCAGAAAAAGTCACACTGCATTATACTGCACATAATAAGTACTTTGTAAATGTTTGTTGAATATACTGTTGCCCTACAATCAGAAGAAATGAATTCTGAGTTTTTCAATATCCACTCCCAGTTTGAAGTAGAGTATGTTTTACTATCTTGTAAACACAAACTGATAGTGTTGACACAATGCTGTTCTAGGTAACAACAGAAGATCAGCAGGACTATTTCAGTGCATGGAGAAAATCCAAAAGACAATCTTAACACATGATTCATTTGAGTACTGATTCATGTCTCCCTGAGTTGTCCTTGATTTAAGTCTGTGATTTCACTGTTGAAGGAATTCTTCAATTATTACTATAGAGATGAGAAAGAGGCTGTAGTGATCTCTCAAAAAAAGAGGACAGTTCAAAAATTCAATCCAACAAACAGCAAACATGTACTATGTATAAATGATGTGGTTTGTGATTGCTGGGAACCCTGAAATGTCAGGGATTAGTCAATAAGTATTTATTAAATATCTACACAATGCCAAGGACTGCTAAGCACTAGGGATAAAAAAAAAAAAGGCAAAAGCCAGTTTCTGCCCTCCAGGATTTTTTTTGTTTGTTTGTTTCTTTGTTTTTCCTTTTCGAAAAAGACCAATAGAAAAAAATCAGGGGGCGGAGCCAAGATGGCAGAGGGAAAGCAGTGAATTGCTTGAGCTCTCACCCAAACCCCTCCAAATACCTATAAAAAATGGCTCTAAAGAAATTCTAAAGCAGCAGAACCCACAAAAAGACAGAGTGAAACAAAGTTCCAGCCAAAGACAGCCTGGATGGTTGATCAGAAAGGTATATCGTGCTGGGCAGGGAGAGGAGCACAACACAGGCCACAGCGATGCTGGAGCAGGCCTCAGAGGGCTGAATTGCTGGCAGCTGTGGCAGTTTCCAGACTTCTCAACCCCTGAACGCCAAAGACAACTTAGAAGGTCAGTGGGAAAAGTCTGTGACTGTGGTGAGAGAGGAGCTAGGTCTCAGCCGCAAGTCTCAAGCTTGGCCCGGGCCTCAGCTTTTTCCTGAGCTTCTGGCCCACAGACTGAGGGGGAATCAAGTGACTGATCAGAGGGGGATTGCAGGGATCTCTTTGCCAGTGCTGAGGC